ACCGTTCCTTCGGATCGGATCTCTGGATATGAATGATTGATGCTACAATGTGAGGCCATCGTCCATTCGATGGATTGGCCTATACTTCGGTCTGATTGCTAAACCCCTGTTTGATTAAATCTTGTTTATTATTGCTGTATTCTCGATTGTATTTGATATAGACTAGAGATTAAATTGCCAGTATATGTCTATTTTGACCTTGTCCATCTTCCCTTCTAAGCAGATAACATTTACTCAAATAATTGAAGTCGACTAAACAAAGCTTTACCAGATCATCAATGTCTAAACCTTGTTGATGCGCAAAAACAAAAGCCTATATACAGAAAACCCCGGCATGCCCAGCTGCTAGATACAAAGATATCTCATAGTCAACAGCAGGAAAACCCCCCACTAAACAAAACTACCAATCCCAGCGCCACTATTAATAATACAAGTGGCTGGAGCCTTAATCTCGCCCCATATCTTACCTGGGTCAACCCTCAACGTACAGGTCTCACATTGATTCGGCGATTTGATTCATGATATTGTGGTATTGTCTACTTAAATGGGTAGGTAGGCAGGCAATGCTGCTGAAGACGGATGAGGTATTGATAAGCCGCGCGGCAAGCGGAATGAGGCGATAAAGTCGAGAAAAGGAAGATGACGTCGTTTAAGCGCCAGCCTCGGTGGCATCCTTGCCCTGCTTGGCGGCCTCGGCGAGCTGAGCTTCACGGCCTCCCCAGCTGTTGATGCGAATGTCAGCATTATCCTTTCATGTCTCAAGGGGGTTGGGAAGAAAGAGCCATTCTGTGACGTACTTCCAGTAGTTCAGGTAGCGGTAGCCTTGGGTAAGCTGAGCGGAGAAGTTGACGGCGTGGCAGGCGAACAGGAGGTAGTTCTTGGGGGAGACGGCAAGGGCGTAGCGCATGAAAGTTCCCGAGTAGACAACGAGGGCACCGGTCATTTGGCCGGAGATACTGTTAGATAGAGTGACAGTTAGCAAACATATCATTGGTTAAGAGGGTGCTGGCATGTTCGTCTGGGCTATCCCGATAAGCTCTCAAGCTTCATTCGATGTGCAGTGTATATTAAGAAAAGGAACTCCGCGGAGCGAGGGAAGGTAATTGTAGCGACGTACATTTCAGGGTCCTTCTGGGTATCCATCACCGCTGCAATGGGGATACCGAAGTTGGAGGCAGGGCCCCAGAAGTCTAGTTGAGATCATTGTTAGCCAAGAGAAATTGCTTTTTATGAACCAGATTTGGCTAAGTGAAGAGCTTCGTGTTCGTGACCGATAACATGTGCTGAAAGGATTCACTGAAGTTGCTCAACAACCCCTTCAGAACATGTCTTACGGCAGACATTCTTGTCGGCCGATCTCGGTCAGGAACACGGAGAAGGTAACGGTGAGGATTGAACGTACGGGTAGAGCAGAAGTAATCCAGGGCCTTGTTAGACCGGATCTTCGCATTGATTGCCTTAATTGCAGCGGCCATCTTGACGACTCGAAGGCTTGGACTGAAGTGAGGAGTGGAGAGTTGATCAGAGGTGAGTACGCAGGGCCGAGCGGTTTGCTTTCCTCACTCCGTCACCTGCAGTCCGCGCCGGGCGGAGTTACCCGGAGACGGTCACGTGCATTATATTCCTGCGAAGTCGTTGGTTGAATCGGACCTGCTAGGTGCTTACTGCGTACTACTAGGCTAAGTCTACACCTGCAGCTGTCCAATCGCCGTAGAATTGAAGTATAGTCTTACATGAAACATGAAATTAAAGGCTTCAAACCCTCATTAGGATTCACTAGTACAATTGGGTGCTCGAAATACATCTAGCATTACTTCTGTCGGTCCTATCCTTATTTCGGTCGACCTTTTCTTTTGTCAGGGCATTCCCTGCATCCGCACACGCCGCAACGCCTTTGCCTGGTAAAACTCGGGGTGCTATGCCTATTCGTCTGAGGTTCGTCAAGTAGGCGACTAATGGGAAGTGAATATTGTTCGCTTGATTCGTAGTTCGAAGTATCTGCCATGCCGGTGTCATGGCCAGGTTGCAAGCCATCATGCTGCTGCACATACTATCAAATCACCGTCCACCAAAGCCGGGTGGAGGGAATCCGCGTCCCTGTCCAGGGGGCTGGAATCCCGGTGGGGGTTGGAAAGCACCCGCTACAACAGCCTCAGTTAGCTCAAGAACCATAACGCGTGATCTTAGGGTACTTACGAGGAGCACCCTGAGGCGCGAATCCCGGGGGAGGAGCGAAGCCAGCTAGTAGCTTATGTCAGTAACCATGTTCAACCATTGAACTCGAAAGTGCAAACTTACGAGGTCCACCAGGGGCACCACCACGACCAGCGAAGCCCGGAGGGGGAACTCCAGGGAAACCACCACCAGGAGGGAAACCAGGGAAGCCGCCGGGCGGCGGAGGAGGGCCACCAACACCCGCAGCAGGGCCTCCCAGACCGACCGGCAGACCACGTCCAGCGGGTTTGCTAATTCCAGGGCCAGCAGCGAGAGTGGCAGCTGCGGCAGCTGCACCAGGGCCAGCAGTACCAAGTCGGGCAGAGGGATCGGCGGGAGGAGGTCCATCAACGGAGCAAGAGACGACATGTGTACCGCGAACAATGGTAAGACCCAGGGTGCGCTTTTCTTCGGCTTCGACAAGAGGTGCGTTGGTCGAACCGGCGGCGGGCTTGGACTTGCGCTTGACGCGACGGAATTCTTCTGTATCGGCGAGGACAAGGTTCATGTGCTATATGACTGCGTCAGCGACCAGCATACCACAAGTATTATCCGATGGCCACTGAAGGGCCCGGAGATATATACCTTATCGAAAGCGAGCATCTGTCCCGTCATCTGTCGGCCATCATTGAGGGTGACTCTCATCCGGTAGTTGATCTGAGGATAATGTCAGGTTAGACGCGCGAGTAAGGCATATACCCTCAGTAACTTACGAGGTTTTGCTATCAGAATGAAGAGAAGAGTTAGCCACGCGAACATGGGTATACAAGCTGATATCAACAGCAAAGGGAAGGATCCGATCAACTCACCATCTTGCCCTGCTTATTAGCCGCCATCTTGGGCTATGTATGCGCACGAGTGCGACTTGAGTAAAACCAAAGAATTGTTTTGTGAGATGGTAGAAGGGGTAATCTTCTACTTAATCGTCACTTTGTCCTTACTGAGCTGTCGCGCTCGGAGTGAAGGTCGGTCGAGGTCTGCAGCACTTTCTCCAAGCGGCACCAGCTCGACTTGCTACGGGTCGGAGGTCCATGAGGCGCGGCTCTGCGGCTTGGCGCCAGTCGACCGCGCCAAGCCACTAAGGGCTCTCGCTTCCCACTTTCAACCCACACATTTCCCTTTTACACACTTTTCGATCCTGAGTTTCTTCCAACCAACCAGTCGACCAGTTCACGCCAAAAGCAGTCGCCATGGTATGTTGCCCATCGCCAATACACTTTTCAGCATTGATATAAACCCGATTCTCGAGACTTCGAAATTTCATAAACAAAATTTTTTCTAACATTTTTGTCGCCATGCAGTCGGAATCCAAGGACAAGTCCGCCAACCCTATGCGCGAGCTGCGCATCCAGAAGCTCGTGCTCAACATCTCCGTCGGCGAGTCTGGTGACAGACTTACTCGCGCTGCTAAGGTGCTCGAGCAGCTGAGCGGTCAGACTCCGGTCTACAGTAAGAACGCCCGAACCCGATGAATCCGAGAATTTCGAATACGAAGCAGCCGAGGAAGGAGGATATGACAACAGTGATATGGAATGGATGGCTGATGGGATGATTTTTTCAACGTTTAGGCAAGGCCCGTTACACCGTCCGTACCTTCGGTATCCGTCGTAACGAGAAGATCTCCGTCCACGTTACCGTCCGTGGCCCCAAGGCCGAGGAGATCCTTGAGCGTGGTCTTAAGGTCAAGGAGTACGAGCTCCGCAAGCGCAACTTCTCTGAGACCGGTAACTTCGGTTTCGGTATCTCCGAGCACATCGATCTGGGTATCAAGTACGACCCCGGTATCGGTATCTACGGCATGGACTTCTACTGCTGCATGTGAGTGCACTCCAATCTCTACGCAGTCCTAGTTCGACGGGTCCATCGGTGTCGATCCAGATCGAGCAGGACAATTCAAGCATCAGGAACTGACTTGGAATCACTAGGACCCGCCCTGGTGAGCGTGTCGCCAAGCGCCGCCGCTGCAAGGCCCGTATCGGCTCCCAGCACCGTATCACCCAGAACGAGACCATCAAGTGGTTCAAGAACCGCTTCGACGGTATCGTCCGGTAAATGCCCTCATCCACGGGGTCTTCAGGAGGGAAAGCTCCGGGGTTGTGTTTATGATGAATCGATCAAAAAATGGTCAGAAAAGGAGGCAGGCGTTCTTGAAAATCATTATCGCTCTGCTCTGAAATATGGCTTTTCTACCACGGCATGAGGTTAGGCGTGTTAGAGATATCAAATTCCCAAATTTTTCATACGCATCCACTTTTCTCAATGAAGGCTTCACGAAGGGTGATGATTTCCGCATAACCATTGATGAAAGGTCTCCCATGATGCTTTTGCTGTGTTTTGCCACTTGTACCACTTTCAACACACAGTGGTGCTATAGTGTGCATTTGGCCTGAAACTCATCTCTCTGAGATCGAGTGTTTTCTTTTGCAAGATGTGCTTCTAGCATTATTCTCTGCTACCCCAGGACTGATGCTTAAGAAACACGGGTCTCAACACCCTGTTTCTGTGCCCAGTCTCGGCCTCGTAGTGGTATCTTTGAAAACTCGTTGAGTAGATAAGCCGACCGACTCGTAGCAGCCAAATTGGCTATTGACCAACCGCGCTCGTAGAGTCTAGCCCAATACCCCGGGTCTCATTAGTGCTAATGACAGCCGCTCGACAGGCATGCTGTCAAGTTTTTTGATGGGGAAATATACCGTGAAACTACTAATGTCTGGTTCCAAGGTCCTAATTACGTGCCATTTTTGACATGTCTAGTTTGGGGCTGGCGAATCTTGCGACCGCAGAACCCCGCATTCTACAATCCCTTACAATACGAATATGCCACCAAGCAAACGCTAGTCAAATTATGTTTGTTGACTATTACAGCAGTCATCATACGTACATGCAACACAACTTCGTCGAGATAGCATAGCTATACGTCGCCTGACTTAAATATCAACAATATTTGCACAAAACACAGAGGGGTCTGGCCCCTCACAACCAACTTCGCCAATATCATAGCATTTCGTCAAAGAAGGGAATTAGTTGGGATTATTTACTACCTCCTCTCGTGTATCCATCCCACCACTTGGCGAACAAACCGCCCTGCTGTCCCTGCTCGTTCCAGCTTTCACGGCGTGTATTGAAAGTCTGGTCCGTAGAGTTGCGCTTCTGGCTTGTCAGACTCTCAAATAGGCTGGACGCGCCATGGCCAGTTGAGCGTCTTCTATCCCCCACGCTGGGAGGGCTGTTGCTCAAATTGGCAGAGTTGGAAGACATATCCGATGAATCAGAGCCCTTCATATATAGAACGGTTAGTTAATGCAGATGCTAGGAGAGTGAAGGTGTCAATCATCAGGCTAAAATCAAGTGCTTGGGATGATGACAGAAACTGTTCAGACGTACGCGTCTGTCGGAAGTGGCAGTGGCAGCGGTGGTAGTAGGGATCGAAGGCCGACGGTAGGTCTCAGGAGGACCTCCTCGCACCCAGACATTGAGATGCTCGTAGCGATCACCGACAGTGCCATGCCAATGACGGGGTGACTGGGGTTGTTGATTGTTGCTCATGGTTCCTCTTTTCTTGTACTTCTTGGTTCTCGATGAGATCGAAGGAGCAGTATCAACTGCGTGCTTCGTAAGTTGAAGTGAGGATGTGATTCATAGGAAAAGAAACTAAAACATGTGCATGTGTATGGCAAACAACCGCGGGTGAAGAGCAGCCAAATCTGTCACGGGCTATGGTTACATAGCCCTTTCATCATGTAACCGGGAGGCTCCGGTGTCATTTCAACGACAGACAATCAAAAAGCAGAGTCTAGCTGATCGATATTGAAGAGGGCGAACTTGAAATCGAGACTTGAACTTACCGGTTAGCTTCTTTGCAATGTGTTCTCAGCACAGGATTTGGATTTACCGATCAGAGCATACACCCGGGAAGACAGTAGCTCGTTATAAGGGATTCCCAAAGTAAGAGAGGGGTAAGTCAGCCACCCTCCGAGTGCTGTGAATCAGACCCTGGGTATGATGATGCAGCAAGAGGCATTCCCATAGGTCTGAGGGGGCAAAAGTACGGTCATGAACCAATGATGGGCAGTAATGGCTTGGGGATCCCGGTCCTAAGAATGCAAAAGCTTCTTTGACAACGGCAATGATTCATCATCTCTGGGGAATCGTATACGTCGATCCACGGATAATTTTGAAAGTATCGCAAGATATTCGGGATTAATCAGCTCCTCTTGGTACAAACGATCCAATAAAATGATGTGCAGACTTGTGGTGTGCCAATGGATATCATCCATGATGGCTTGACGTCAGGTGCTCTGCCAAATGCGGGGATCGAAGAGTAACTGCGCAGAAAAAGTACGGTCTGTCTCTTCCTGTGAAGCATCAATATCTGCACTATGTCTAGCGATTGTTTACCTTCAATGAGCGGGGTAATGTGCAACTAACTAGCTGATGATATATTGATTGGCATCTGTCATCTATTCGGAAATGGCGCAGCATACAATGGATTTGTTGAACTGTATAACAGACAGACTTGGGGTCCTCAAATGAAACATCATAATAGGCACTGGCTTAGCATCTGCATACAGCGTACAGATGCATCTGAAGCTAGAGGAACAGTGTGAGTTACAAGCAGACATGGCCGAGGAACAGGCCATCACTCCATCCTACTGTCGACCCATGCATTTAATGCCTCAGGCAACGAGCGGCATCCAGATCTGGGGCCGAAGCGGAATGAACTCGGCTTCCCCACGGGCCGCTTTGATATGCCTCGCCCATCTTGACCGTTTATCATGGTTCAGCGTCCACGTTTCCCCCTTACATTTCCGCTATAACTCATCATTCTATAGGCTATATTTGCCGACGATCTAGCAACCATATAATCCATCATAGGATTCGTCAATTCTTCCCCTGAGTCTCCACCGCCTGCCAAGATTTCGGCCATCGGGACCCTTATCATGCGCTAAAGACGCGAGCGCCCTCCCCCTCGTGCGGAGATGCCGTCGGTCAGAACGGCCCTTTCTGGGGCTATATCTATCCATGGAACCTCGTGTGCCATAGCCTTCGACAACTTTTCACTGTCTATTATATCAGCCCGCCATATATATATTTATCCTCCCAGCCCACAATGGCACTTCTGGAGACATTTGGTCATCCCTACTTGAAGTCCCTGGCCCATCGTGGCTACATTCAGGGCACCACTCTGCACTCAAAAGCGACTAACCAGCCCCTCTGTCACTATTTTGGATCTGTCCGATATGCCCTTCCTCCTCCTGAGAGATGGCGCCGTGCCCAGAAGCTCCCCGAGTCCTATTCCTACGGCACCAAAGACCAACCCGCCCCTTGCGACAAAGATGCTGCTGTTTGTCCGCAGCCCAGCTTCATGGGTCGTCCGTACACGAAGGGGTTCACAGAGGACTGCTTTGAGGCCAGCGTGTGGGTACCGCTGGGAGACGCCCCCAAGGGAGGTAAGTATCGTGGTCTTGACACATCAGCTGAAGCTAATGAAATATTCCTATAGGCTGGCCGGTCCTTTTCTTCATCCGTATGCGCGCCCCTCTGAGAGTGCCTACAACCCATTCCCTGATCTGATACTGATGCTTTCACATCTTAGATGGAGGCTGGCTACAATTCGGCCACCCGAACGGATTCTCCGCCGCAGGCCTACTAGGCGATGCTGGACTCAATGCTATTGTCGTCCTTCCAGCCTACCGGCTGAACGTCTTCGGATTCTTATATTCCTCGGAGATCGAGAAGGACGCCACCTCTGTAGGCGAAACAGCAGGCAACCACGGCTTCTGGGATCAGCGTCTAGCCCTAGAATGGACGAGGGACAACATTAGCCTCTTCGGCGGCAACCCATCCCAGATCACCGTCTCCGGATACTCAGCCGGTGAGTTTCCTAGATCCCCCTCTCCCTATATGCGAAGCCGCAAAACTAACCCAACCAGGCGCCTACTCAACGTTCTACCAACTGGCCTACGACCTCCAATTCCCCGCCTCCCAAGCAATAATCAAACAAGCCTGCATCTGGTCCAACGCCGCCGCCGTACAGCCCAAAACCCCCGCCTCCGCCCAAGAACAATTCGACCAACTCCTCTCAGCCCTACACATCCCCAGCACCCTCCCCTGGGCCGAAAAGATCTCCCATCTCCGGTCCCTCCCCCCCCAAACCCTCCTCGATGCCGCCATGAGCGTGCAACTAAACCAATACCGCCCGACCTCCGACTCAGCCTTCATCCAACCCACTCTCTTCAAATCCCTAGACAGCGGAGCTTTCGCGCGCGCCCTCTCCGCACGCAACGTCCGCATCATGCTCGGCGAATGCCGCGACGAGCGACACCTCTACGCCGCCTGGTTCCCACCACAAGCCGACAGTCTCTCCGCACTCCATTCCAGACTTCTCGCGGATTACCCGCGCCACGTCGTGGACACACTCATGAAGCTCCACTACCCGGACGGCAAGTTACCATCGTGCTGCGAGAACTGGGACAATGACGCCTTCGGGCGGGTGTATGCCAAGATGCAGGTGCATGATATGCAGCGCGGGCTGATTCATGCTCTTGCTAGTGGCGGGGCGGGACATTTGCTTTATCGGTATCGGATTGAGTGGCGGGCTAAGTGTGTGGATGCGGTTATTCCGCCCGACTGGGAGGTTACGCATTCTAGTGATTATCCGATCTGGTTCTGGGGGAATGGGCATGTGTTGGAGCCGGAGGAGAAGGGTGTTATTCGGCGGGCTTTGATTGATCCGTTTATTAGGTTTGTTCATGGGGAGGGGGATGTGAAGTGGGGTACGACGCATCATCGGGAGATGAGGACCTTGAAGCCGGATGGGTCGGTTGAGATTGTGCAGGATACTGCGCTTTGGGATGAGGCGATGCGCGTCTGGAAAGCTTTGCGGGAGGTGGGAGAGCCGGAGGCTTCTGCTGCCAAGCTCTGAAGGGATTCAATGCCTCTGAATTATGGGGATTGGTCTTGATCCTGTATATATCGCATGGTGTCTATATATGCTGCATTCACTAGAGACTACGATTATCTGGAATGATGCATTGAATCACTTGTCATTCAATATGGTTGACATAGTATGTCCCTGACAACCATTGATCGTAAATAAGCTGTGGCATAAATATGGAAATAACCCAATCCCAACCCAAAATATTTCATAAACATAACAGACGCTCTAATCTAAGAAAGAATATTGGCATAGTGCCCTTGTTCAGCGTGAGGAAAAATAGGCCGGTTGCAAGGACATCAACATCGACATTAGCTTTTCAAACATTGCCGTCATAACGGTGTTACTCTTCTAGGCCTTGACGATCTTGCACACGAGATCCTGGCCGTCCACCGAGTCACCTTCCTTGACCAGCAAGCTGGAGACCTTGCCACTGTGGGGAGCAGAGATAACCATTTCCTATTGAATGTTAGCGGCCGATCATGGGTTTTGATTGATAGTTCTAGGGTTGCACATACCATCTTCATGGCGCTCAGAACGGCAATGGGGTCACCCTTCTTGACTTCCAAGCCGTCGTGGACACGGATCTCAACAACCACACCGCTCATAGGAGCACCGACCTGGCTGCTGTCACCCAGCTCGGCCTTGGGGCGGGCGGTGTTCTCGACGGACGCCTTCTTGTCGTCCACACTAACCTGACGAACCTCACCGTTGACTTCGTAGAAGACTTCGCGCTGACCGGTCTGCTCGGAGAGGGGACCGATGGCCAACAGCTTCAGGATCAGCACCTTACCCTTCTCCAGCTCGACGTGGAATTCCTCGCCGATCTCGGGCTTGGCCAAGAAGTAACGCGTAGGCAGGACGGAAAGATCACCAAACTTGGCGACAAACTTCTTGTAGTCCTCGAAGACCTTGGGGTACATGGCATAGCTGGCCACGTCGTACTCGGTGGCAGCGCCATAGTTCTCCCGGATCTGGCTCTTGATCTTGGCCAGGTCAAGGGGCTCAAGGTACAGACCAGGGCGCTTGTCGAGCTTGCGACGGTCACGCAGAGCGCGAGAGCGCAGAGGCTCGGGGAATCCACCGTAGGGCTGGCCCATGAGACCCTCGAGGAACTCCAGCACGGAACCGGGGAAGTCAAGCTCGCCAGCGCGGGCAATCACATCTTCAGCGGTCAACTTGTTCGAGACCATGAACTGAGCCAAGTCACCGACGACCTTGGAAGTGGGAGTGACCTTGACGACATCGCCCAAAAGATCGTTGGCAGACTCGTAGGCCTTCTTCGTCTCCGCCCACTGCTGGCCCAGACCAAGCTGGCTGGCTTGGAAGATCAGGTTGGTCAACTGACCACCGGGGATCTCGTGCTCGTAGACCTCGGGGTCGGGACCGGTCAGACCCGCCTCGAAGGGCGAGTACAGGAGACGCAGCTGGGCCCAGTAGGTGTCAAGGGCGCGCACCTGGGACGAGTTGAGGCCAGGGTCGTGCTCGGTTTCCTCGAGGGAAGCGAGGATAGCACCAATGCTGGGCTGGGAGGTCATGCCGGAAAGACTGTCCGTGGCAGCATCAACGGCATCAGCACCGGCCTGGGCGCAAGCAATCATAGAAGCCACACCGGTACCAGCGGAGTCGTGGGTGTGCACGTGGATGGGAAGGTCGGGGTAGCGCTCGCGGATGGAGCCGATCAGCAGACGAGCAGCCTGGGGCTTGAGCACACCAGCCATGTCCTTGATACCCAAGACGTGGGGCTTGAACTGAACCACCTTGTCGACAAGGTCGAGGTAGTAAGGCAGGTTGTACTTCTTGCTGGGGTTGAGCATGTCACCACTGTAGCAAATAGTAGCCTCAACAACACCCTCAGCAGCGTGAACAGCCTTAATACCGACCTCGAGCTGGTCAACGTCGTTGAGAGCATCGAAGACACGGAAGATGTCAACACCGCACTTCTTGGCCTGCTTACAGAAGTGGTAGATGGCGTTGTCGGGGAGGGAAGAGTAGGCAACACCGTTGGCACCACGGAGCAACATCTGGAAGGGGATGTTGGGAACGGCCTTGCGCAGCTTGCGAAGACGGTCCCAGGGGTCCTCGTACAGGAAGCGCATGGCGACATCGAAGGTGGCACCACCCCAGCATTCCAAACTGTAGGCGTTGGCGAGGGCGTGGCTAGTCTCGTGGGCGATGTTCAGGAGGTCAATGGTACGCACACGAGTGGCCAGCAGCGACTGGTGGGCGTCACGCCAGGTAGTATCCATGATCAAGCAGCCCTTGTTGGCACGCACAGCGCGGGCGAAAGCCTCGGGGCCCTCGCTGTCCAAGATCTGCTTCCATCCCTTGGTAGCGGGGACAGAGACGTCGAGGGGCTTGCCGGCAGCGTCATGCAGGATGGGCTTGATGATATCGCCCTTGAGCTTGGGCTCGCCGATCTGGCCCTTGATGCTGCTGCCGTTGACAGCCACATCACCCAGGTAAGCCAGCAGCTTCTGGGCACGGTTCTGGCTGCCGACGAGGGCGAACAGCTCGGGAGTGTCATCAATGAACGTGGTCCAGCAAGTACCGTCAACGAAGACAGGGTGACTCAGAAGAGAAGTGAGGAAAGGAATGTTGGTCTTGACACCACGGATACGGAACTCGACCAAGGCACGAACGACCTTGCGGCGGGCGATCTCGTAGGTGGAACCACGGCAGGTACACTTGACCAGCATGGAGTCGTAGTGAGGGGTGATGATGGCACCGGCGAAACCGTTTCCACCATCCAGACGGACACCGTTACCACCGGCAGAGCGGTAGACCTCGATCTTACCAGTGTCGGGGGAGAAGCCCTTGGAGGGGTCCTCGGTGGTGATACGGCACTGAATAGCGAATCCACGAGTGGAGATGCGGTCCTGGGTCAGGCCCAGCTGTTCCAGGGTAGCACCAGCCGCAATCTGGATCTGAGCAGCAACGATATCAATGCCCGTGATCTCTTCGGTGATAGTGTGCTCGACCTGGATACGGGGGTTGATCTCAATGAAGTAGTAGCGGTTCTGCTGGTCGACCAGGAACTCTGCAGTACCGGCGTTGCGGTAATTGACCGACTTGGCCAGCTTGACGGCATCAGCCAGGATGCGGTCACGGACATCGGCAGGCAGATCCTTGGCCGGGGCAATCTCAACGACCTTCTGGTGACGACGCTGGACGGAGCAGTCACGCTCGAACAGGTGGACGACGTTGCCGTGGTTGTCACCCAGCAGCTGGACTTCAATGTGCTTGGGGCGGTCGAGGAAACGTTCAACGAAGACGGTGCCGTTGCCAAAGGCAGAGCGGGCCTCGGAGGTGGCACGCTCGAAGGAGTCACGCAGTTCGGCCTGGTCGCGGACGACACGCATACCACGACCACCACCACCGAAGGCGGCCTTGATAATGATGGGGAAGCCGTAGGTGTCGGTGAAGGCCTTGACCTCCTCGTAGCGCTCGACAGGGCCCGGGGTACCGGGCACGACGGGCACGTCGCAGCGGATAGCCAGCTGACGGGCGGAGACCTTGTCACCAAGGCTCTCAATGGTCTGGGGGGTAGGGCCGACGAAAACCATGCCGTTCTGCTCCACCTTGCGGGCAAACTCGGCGTTCTCGGACAGGAAACCATAACCCGGGTGGATCAGGTGCACACCATGCTCAAGAGCAATCTTGACGATCTCATCAATGGCCAAGTAGGCCCCGACCGGTGTATATTGACCGCGCTTGCCAATCATGTAGGCCTCATCGGCCTTCTGACGGTGCATGGAGAGACGGTCCTCATGGGAGTAGACGGCGACAGTCTGCAGGGACAGCTCGTGGGCCGTCCGGAAGATACGAATGGGGATTTCACCACGGTTGGCAACAAGGATCTTCTGGAACTGCATGATGGCCGAATTGGCACGCAGACGGGTGTGGACAGAGTCCCTGTGCTGGTCATGGTGGTCATCGATGAACTCGGTGTCATCGACCGCCTCCTCGGGCTGACGGGGAGCAGCCATGGCGGGCGGGGTATGTGTGTTTGTTGATAAGGATGGATAAGGGTGGGAGGGGGAGGGTGGGGAGCTAGAGTATAGGAAGGGAAGATGGAGAGCTATTCAGAGGAGATCTAGATGGGAGAGAGAAGGCACAGGGAGCTGGGGATGAAGGGAAATATAGTATACGAGTTAGCCGAATGATCCAATGATGCTCGGAAGAAAAAAAAGCAAGCCAGAAAACGGAGCAGTGATACGTTGGCGTGAGTCACCTGGGGAGAAGGTGCTTCCGGGGAAGAAAAAGGCCCGGTTTCGGAACGGGAAAGCGTGGGAGAGCGCGGGGAAATCGTGGGAGGATTAGGGAACTCAATTGGAGGGATCCGGCGACTTACCCGACGGGAAGAGGAGGAGGAGGAGGAGGGGAAGGACCTCAAGAGGATGATGAGCGTGAGGAGGGAGAGAGAGATGGACAGAGAGGAATGAGATGAGAAAGTTGGGAGGAAGAAGAGGGGAGGGAGGAGGAGAGGAGGGCATAGAAGTACTTGGGGATGATGACCCTCATCCAGCGGCAGCCCGGCAAGCCAAAGCAGAGGAGCGGAGGGGCAGGTCAGCGCAAGGCGGAGGAGGGGATCCCGGACGGGCGATGACGCTGCGGCACGATTGGCAGGCGGTACTGTAATCAGATTACACCGCTGGGCCCTGGACGGTAAGCTATCGCCATAGTAAAGTGGCTCCAGTCCAGAGCACAGTTGGTAATTTCATTACGGCGCTAGTGGACGCCCCCCCAGAAGCTCGACCTTCACCGGCACACCGGGCTGCAGCATGTGGGATGGTGACCCATGGAATGTCATGCTCGGCCTGTCTGTCTGGCTCTGTCCATTTGACTTCTGTTCTTTTTTGCTTCTCTTGGGTAGGGTTGCAGTGCCTCCGTTCGTCCGGATTCATTGGCTGTCAGAGAGATTACAGTTTGGTGGGGGTTGTCGTCCATTCGCAGTGGGATCATCGCCATGGACGCTCGGTCAATGGATAGTTTCCCGCGTGAATACCTGGCGGCAATGATGGCTTTTCTTACGTCTGCACGCTATGTAGCTTAGCTACCATTCACACTCTCTCGCTCCAGCATCACTCTCACATCTATACCGAAAATGCATCGGGTAGTTCAGGCGTCGCGTTCTCTTCCTTACCTCGGGTGCTCGGGCTAATTCATGCCTGCCAGAGCTCATGGAGCGTTCCAAGCTCGGGAAAGACGTTTCGTCAAGGTTACCTAGCAACATCGGCCTCTCCTGCCCTGATATCATGTATCCGTCTGTAAACGAACCAAAACCCAGACCTTCCCCACCGTATCTCCGGCGATAGGCGACGGGGATCTTCATCCAGAAGCTGGCAAGAATCATCCGAGCGAGAGCACGCCAGCCCCCCAGCCAGTTCAGCCCGGTGTACGTACTTTGTGACCGAGCCATGCATCGTGCCCTCTTTGCACCGATTCAGCCCTCAACCAAATTGCATCTATCAGCTTGGCAGTTGCTGCGATCGTCGCACAATGGGCCATCGATGCGAGGCGCTTCGGTGGATGGTAAGTCCGGGCCAAGCTCATAATTTTTTTATTATGATTTTACTAAACGATCCCCCTCCCCAAACGTTCCTATGATCTACCTCGGCCAAGCTGGAACTATTTGCATCCCGCCTGTGCCTAGTAGTTTAGATAACGAGACAAAAACGCACGTCGGCTATGTAGACTAGCTGTTCTTTGTCCGCTCATCTGGGGAGGCACTTTCCCCATCGAGTAGGGGAAGGGATCAGATTACCCATATAAAAGTGAAACCACGCCGGAGTGGAAGGCCGATTCCATCGATAGCCTGGTTTCCACCGGTTCCCATGACCTGGCGTGCAGAAAATCCCACCCGCCGGGACAAGACTTGCCTTCCCTAAATCTCACACCGGGCCTCACATCTCCGGTTCTAGATCTACTTGGTATTGCCCCTGGTGTACCAGTCCCCTTGTCTGATCTGTATTTTCATCGGATAATTGGGATTATATGGGCATGTGATAAGAAAAAAAATATGCTCTTTTCGGCTCTTAGTGCCGAAAGATAGATTGCTACTGGTGGTATGACAATAATTCCGTAGTTAGTGCCAATGGTGAGAACCTACCCTCCTCCTGGGTTTTATTCTATCTGCTGCGTTCCTTCCTGGAAAAGTTGCGTAGTAATCAAGCGTTGTTAACAGGGCTGTATATATAACGTTGATTGCATCCACCCATCTCCGTTCCCCTCCTGCAGTGTTCCCCTGCCTCCTCCGTCTGTCCGTTACCCCGGGCTAAATCCTTATCGCTGCATCTCCCGTCCACGCAAATCCTCCGCCCGGGGTGTCACTGCTCCCTTACCTATCAACTCGGTTGTTCCTCCAATCCTGCATGGACGGGCTAAATTCTTTCCCTGGCTCCCTCTCCTCTACGCGCTTCCCTTCAACCGAATGCTTTTCTTTCGACTTAACCGGAGAGATGCTAGATTCTTAGATCGCTATTTCGTCTAGAAGACCCAGTGTAGTGGCTATGAACAGTATAAACGATGGCGTGCTCTGTCAGAATTGAGATATAGCTACTAGTAATTGGCGTCCTCGGCGAGGAGTTAACCCCCGTCTACGGCACCAACTGCCGAGATCTAGGCGTAGATCATTCGGTCGCCAATACCGAAGTGCCGACGTGTACTACGAGCCGAATGTCGAATCAAGATCGAACGTCAATTATAATTGAACTAAGTATGACAAAAGCCCGCGACCACCCGGAGGTCTGTAAACTGAATGCGCAGATTTTCAAGGCCTATGAAATACATCTAGTGGGGTGAAATAAAAGGTAGGATAGGCAACAAATCATGGACGAAACGTAAGGGATGAGAAGGAACATCAAGTAAAGGGGAGAGAAGCCCGGCCAGGTGGAACAGCAAGCCCATCAGCTGACGACGCTTTTACAGCTGTCAAGGCTCTACTGTCCTACCCAAGCCCAGCAGTAGATCATCCATCGCTCATGCTATACATACACGGGGCCAAATGAGGTTTCTTCAGAAGGGGATCCAAGGAGAGCGTGACTGACATGCGTCTAGAAAGGGCGGAAACCGGTAGCCTGCGGTGTGATTCCGTTAACCTGTCCAAACGCCATGGGGCTTGGCGCCGGCGCTGCCGGGCCCTGGGTCAACATCAACCGCGTGCCGCCCAGAATCGGGGTATTGTCCTCCTCCGTCTTCTGAGTCACTTCGCGCGACTTGCGTTCTTCGTTGTCCTTCTTCAACATCTCGATCGTGCGTGTCTGTTCGCACAAGAAATTGATCATGAAAGGCATGGTGAAGTCGTTAAGACCATGGCGCCACGAAAGCTCGAGAATAACGTCGGGCCGGATGAGATCGTAGCAGGCATACAGCATGCCAACGTAGCATTCGCGGCTGCCAATATCGACAAACTAGAAGCAGAGTCAGAACATATCCTTGAGTGCGATTAAATGGGAAAGAGATTTGACTCACGTAGCGAAGAAGGTCCTCGACAACATCCGACTTTCCGGAGATGGCGGAAGTCTCGATGGCATCCTTGTAAAGCTTGTCTTGCTTGGACAAGGAGATCGACTTCTCCCAGCGCTTGTTGTTGCGGTAAATGTTAGCTGCGATCTGGCGGAAGAAGATCAGATCATGCTTCTCCAACCGCTGGGCAAGTGCCACGGCATCGAAGTTATCGTAATTATCGACCGAGTCACGGAGAGTCTTGTAATCCTCCTCCTCGATCAACAAGTCGTTGATGGCATCGTTTACGGCCCTCTTGTTCTGAGTTTGGACATTGAGCAGGAACGGCTTGATCAGAGGAATGTTGTCCGAAGCCTGGAAAATCCGCACGACACGGTTGACATCAATTCGAGCAGTGAGCACCTGTAGCAAGTCGGTGAGGAGCAAAGGCTGTTCTTGCAGATAGAAGTTGAGCGCACGGTAGTAGATCTCCAGGTTGGCCACCTTGACAATGATGTCCTTGAACGAGTGGTGCTCCCAGGCATCGGCAGCACGCTCCATCATTGCCAATGCAGCGTTGTCCCACTCATCATAGTGGCAGTACAAGAAGACCAGCTCCGGCCAGAGACTTGCGTCCTCGCAGGCGCGAATCATCTTAGGAATATTGATGCGAGACCAGAAGAGCTTGAGGTGTTCCATCACCCGGTCGGGGTGGTACTTAGAGAGGGCAATGCCCAATTCGGTGAACATGCCCATATGCGCCCGCTCCAGACCCAGGCCAGCCTCCAGAACCGCAATGAGCTCGTCAAAGTAGCCATTGCGCTCATACTGGCGCACAAGATCCTGAAGCTCTTCCGCGTGAACGATCAGGTTGAGACCGCAAATTTGGGCAAGGCGGAACTCCTTCTTGTTAACACAAGCTTCGTTGACCTGCTTCCAAACCTTAACACTGTTGGCTTTGCGTGCGCATTCCACGGCTGCCTGGTAATCTTCCAGGTGCACCAAGGTCGTTGCCAATTTGGCCCAGTTGGAAATGCTGGTGTAGAAAATCTTGGCAGCCTGGTGGTAGCCTTCTTCATAAGCCTTGTCACCGGAAGCCTCGACATCTGCAACGTTGGTCGTCCGCAGGAAATCCTCGAGCTCCGAAAGCTGATCGAGACGGGCGTAACAGAAAGCAAGACCCGTGTCAATGGCAGGCTCACGCAAGGTCTTACGGGCCATCTTGAGATACTTGACGAGGTCTTCATCCTTGCCAGCATGCGTAGCCGTTTCGATGACCTCGTTGTAGTTCGAGGGATCGCCGGCACGGATATAGGACTCGATGGAGTCGGACACCCGAAGACCATCCAGCTGGGCCTTGGCAACCTTGCTCCACACCTCCGGTAGCTCGACACGCTCCGCAAATTCTTGCGCGCGGTCAATGCTAACAATGTTCTCGACCAAGACGTTGACAGCGGCAATGAAGTTGTTCACCTTCTTGTAGATCTCAAACGCCTCCTCGTAAAGACCGACCGAAATGCACATCTCGGCGATTTCATCGGGGCTGAACTCGTTGAGCTGATGGATGTAATCCATCAAGCGTCCCTTATCAGCCTTGGCAGCTGTGAGCATGAGCAAGTTCTGCAGACTGCCGTTGTCGCTGAAAGGAGAGGGCTCGAGAATGATCTTCTCAAGCAACTCGATCAGCTCGCCGGGCAGATCAGCTTCGAGGAAAGCCTTGACAGCGATGGACACTTTGTCGGGCTCAGTCGACTCAGGCACAGCGGTCGCAATGACCTGGTCGACAAGTGAACGCCGATGCATGTTGTTCTCGCTGAGAACGAAGGACCAGATCTCCGAATCAGCTCTCTCCACGAGGTAGCGTGCCTGGGCACGGTACATAGCGTTCTCATTGGTGATATTGATCAGTTCGAGATCATTCTGTCCCTTCCGGTAGGCAATGTATGCCAGGTTCGGGTCACGCTTCTCGCAGTACTTTCCAACGGTGAGAGTGTCGTAGAGATCGTTCTCCTTGAGGAACTTCTCGGGATTGTTGTTGCTATCAATATAGATCTTCGCGAGAGCGTTGTAGACGGCCTGCTGCTGGTTACCCGTAGCAAGAGTAGCCTCAAGGAAGGGCAACAGCAACTTGAGCCTATTTCTGCTCTCCACCTCTGAAACGAGTTCATCAATAGGGATCACCGATGGATCAACAGTAGAGAGGAGATTCTTGATGATGCTCTCTTCGCAATCAACGTCTAGCAGGCCACCAATGACAGCGGGAGCACGCGATGGGTTAACACGCTGTACGTACACCTCGATGGACTTGTACTGTTGGTTCTGGTACAGATAAAGGACCAAATCATGAATGAAGTTGAAACGGTCACACACGATGATCAGCGGCAGTTGCTCCGTCAGCTTGGCCTCCTTGAGGAAGTTCTTGACCTTATCCGGATTGTAGTAGTTGCTCTCACGGCAAATCCGTTCAACTTCAGTGATCTGGCCCATGGCGGTGGCGGCCTCAATGTACTTGAAGTGGACCTCAGGGTCTTCGCTAAGGTTGACAATGCTGCCGAGGTAATAGTAGAGACCTTCAGCAGTGCGGTACTTCTCGAGCAGGCTGATTAGTTGCTGGGGCCCCAACAAGTCAGAGAACTTGGTGCAGATCTGAACGACCGCTTGCAAGTTCTGGCGAATGTTAACCTGCAACATTGTGTCCATGCAATCAAGAGTCTGCTCAACCGAGAGACGACCGAAATATTCCATCAACCACTCAGGGCTCAGCTTGTCGGTGCGGACAATATTACGCTTGATGGCCACGGGGTCGTCGGTGTTCTCAAGTGCACGTTGGATGAGGCCTGCATTCTCGCAAAGCTGAGAGATACGAGGGCGGTCGTAGTGGGTGAAGATCTCGTTGCCAAGGATGGCATCGGCGACCTGAGGGGCATTGACAAGGTTCATCTCGAGCAAGCGTGTCTGCAGGTGACCATGTTCAGGCTTGTTATCCTTCAGAGCATCCAGTAGGAATGAAGTGGCCTGCTGGATCATGTTCTGGGACAAGAAGACATCTACGACGCGGTCCAGGTCGATGAGAGCACCAGACTCCTCGTTGGCAAGCTGAGTAGCAAACTCAGCACCCTTCTCCGGATTCACACGAACAATGTGTTGCAGGAGCTGAGTGTAATCCGGCTGGTATCCAACCTGTTTCGAATAGCTGAGAATCTTGTCAAACTGACCCGTCTCTGCGAAGCCGGCAATAACCTTGTGAGGAACATTGGCCTGCAAGTAAATAGCCAGGGCGGTGTTCATATCGTAAGGTCGAACAATATCACCCAGTTCCTCGGATCCTTCGAGCTTGTTTTCGCGCATCCACTTCTCAAGAAGGTGCTTCCTGTTCTGTTGCAAAACGGGACGGACGAGCTCAACACTCTCATACTTGTTCAAAGAGCCCTTATCCAAAAGCATTCCGAAGTACTGGAGGATGACGGACATCCCCTGTCCGGTCTGGGGAGCATTCTTGAAGCGGTTGATGGTCTCCGGGGTACGCAAAAAGCCACGGGGCGAGTTTGCGGCAATCTTGGCGGCTTCAGAGTAGTTGCCTTGTGTAATGAGGTTGTCGAACTGCTGCTGGTACAGATGATCCGCACCAGGAAGTCCCGCCTTCGAAGCAAGCTTCACTGCGAGACCAGACATGGCCGGGTTCTCCATCAGGTACTGGACGATAGTATTCTCATCGACACTGACAGACAGAACTTGACCCTTGCGGTTCACGCCGACCAGACCAGCAGAATCGGAATCGGGAGCGGTAGTGAATATCGTTTCGCTGGAGATACGGTTCATAAAGATGCAAGTGCCGGTCTCGAGGTCGTAGAGGTGAATGAAGCCATACTTGGTGACCAGATACACAATGTCATACTTCCTGGAAACCTGCATAGCAACTGGGAAATCATTCACCGCCTCCTGGGGGAAGTATACCTCCACGGCCTTCTTCTGGAACCTCGGGTTCGGCTCTTGGTGGTCAATTTCAGCAATCTGCAATTTAGCACCGGTCTGTGTTCGAACAGCGAAGGTAAAAAGCTTGTGTTCGAGGGGAGATCCCTCGACACGGATCGAGGCGAAAGCAGCTGCGTGACCCTCGATGAACTGAGAGATACCACGGTCTTTGGAGTACAACTGCATTGATCCCACCACACGGCCTCCCTGCGAGCTGATTCCGACTACCACCATCCACTTCTCGTCATCATTAACACGGTAGTTGATAATTTGACAACCCTGGAAGCAAGAAAGCGTTAGTATGGATGAAAATTCTCCCAATACCCGGCGATTTTGGTTATACGTACACTGAGGTTAGGAAGCCTATCAAAGACCTTCTGAGGGTTAGTCTGGGTAGGGTCGAAGACATCCCAGTGGAAGACAGAGCTCTCTGTCACCAAGCCCAGGCACTTCTCATTGAACCATTTCCAGTACACAACATCCTCGTTCATGACCGATGACTTTAGCTTCTGCTTCGCCGTCAGGTCGAAGATCTGGATCGTGCGCCCTTGGGCCTTGAGAGCAATGATGTTACGGTTCCAGTGCATGATAGCACTATCCGCATTGATTGGGCGCTTGATGACTTCATTGTTGTTTTTCAGGTTAATGATGATAACTTGCGGCTTGTCCTCCTCAGTGAGCTTTTGCCGGACACACACGAAGTTGTCTGATTCTAGGGTCTGTACGGAAGCGACACGATCATTAGCGCTATTACGTCGAAACTGAAGATGGGGTGAAAGAGTATAGAGAGGCACTACTCACACATGAGTTGAATCCAATCGATGCCGGCTAAAATGAATAAGACGTAAGTGAGCTGTTCCTCTACAGGAGGGGACAAGCGGGCGCGTCCCCGAGTTGGGCGTGAAGGCCATCGCCCGATTGAGCGTCAACACATACCGCAATTTCAGCATTCGTGAGCTAAAGAAGATGAAGATACAATGGTCAGTTCCTATATTGCAGGCGATTCGAAGACTAAGTGTTGATGAGACTCACATTAAGAAGCTCCGTAAACTTGATCGGTAGAGGAGCCATATTTACTTAAGGCCGCAGGACGACCTCATCCACCCAACAAAACGCCACGCAAAAGATTCCGCCGGATAGCAAAGGAAAGGAGAAGGAGAACAAGAAATTGAGGGTATGAGTAAGAGAAGAGAAGGCGAGAGAGGGAAGGAGAAGGTAAAGTACGTCAAATAGGGATTAGGGAATGGGAAGGCGAGACTGGGGAAGCGGAAAGTGACCTCAGGAGGCCGGCGCGGGCGACGTTGCTGAGGTGTCGCTTATGGGGCTCTCGTCACGTGCAGCCACCAGGGGTACCAGCCGGTGCCTGGGCCCAACGGGTTTGTTTGAGACGGTCTGTGAAGTGAGAAACTCTCAGTGGCGTTATATTTAGATTGAGACTAAGGTCGGCTGGAAGATCGATGCGTTTGTTCGGTGTCTGGTGGGTGCTTGCTTTTTTTCTCCGAGCTGTACACGTGGGGGCATCGAGCCTTGACTTGTATACAGGTGGCCTTCTCTACCATTCTATAGGGAGCGTGATATATGGCAGGTTATGAAGGCAATCACTACTTTCCCTGGGAATTGAAATATATGAGAATTAACTCAGTAGGCTTGCTCACTTGAATTTAATATGAGCTGCATGCATACATACATACGTGGGTGGACATCGATTTCACATTGCTTGCCCTTTCTCCAATTCTAGACAAAGGGGCGTTCCGTATAGAAAACCGCCATTGGTGTTAGTCTTTCCTGACTGATCACTTCCTAAACTAATATTCATCATATTATTCACGGCATCAACCAGGCCAAATATATAAAGATCGGTGTTACCCGGCAGTGAAAGAAACAGCCAATTCTATTCTCTCACACGTACAATCTCCCACCATTCCTGACTTCATACGGGCTTCATCTATTGCCTCGTCTACTCAATCACTTTCCAGCGTGGCACAGGGCGTTAAGCTTAATGGTTTAGGTAATCGGGCAAGGAATTGAGCTCTTTGTGAACAAATCTGGTCATGGCCCGCTTGTCTGTAGGCTTCTATCGGCTTTGATATGACTTCAATTGTAGCTGTTCCTAACATATATGTTTCGCCTTCAGGACAGAAGGCTAATATGAAATCTGTGAATAACTTTATTTTACAGAGCAATGATACAATTAATTAACAGCAGAGCTAGTAAAAAAAAATCAATCCATCTGGCCGATGAAATATTGCGGGCAAATCCATGTAGGCTGACAGTTGTTTGGTATAAATCACTTTGTTGGTATGTCGGCGGTACGTACCGTGTATTCTAAACCTCCGGATACTCCGACACCCACACAATGACGTCAGGTATAGTGACACCGGGCACTTGGTATTCCACTACTCCAGGGTGATTAAGACTTACGCCAGGACGTCTATCTGCTCTGGACGAGTGTATGAGCTTGACCAAAAATACATTATAGTCATAGAACCTCAATTCTATGTTTGTGTAATATCATTCGGCCAATTGAACTTGCGGCCCATCAATCTTTCACATTCTGGTCAAAATATATAAACGAAGTCTACCATCCACTACTACCAACTTCAAACTTGCATAGTAATCTTCACCAAAACTGATAAAGCGAACATCAACATAGAATCTCACCTCACTGATATTGACCATAAACTACCAGCTACTACAACCTCCACATTCACTCCAATACTTGAGTAAAAATCCGATAAAGCAAGGAGACCGACTCTGGGGAACCGAATGAGCCGGGTACCTACATCGGCACATCCTAGCAGGCAAGGAGTCCACTAATACCATGCTAATTGAAGTTAAAACACGTCAAATTCAAAGTGAGACACGGCATCCAAGTTACATACCCTAGTTCCATAATGCATCATGCACCGATTTGCATTCGCCATCTAGCTAGATATGCAATGACGCGTCACTTGATTGTTGCTATTTTCAGTAACCCACTGTCTACAACATCATATGTATCTGGTGCGTAAACTTTTTTTGATCATTTCTAGACTATGATATGGACTGCAGATTGAACCCAATGCTACGCCGGACTACTATTACAGACGCCGTAGTGCTTTGCGACATTCTTGCCGTTTTATTTGCAGGGCGGGCTTTCTGATCCGCACCCGTCAAGCCGAGTCACTTGAAGTCACTTTTGATTGGGATATCGCTACTACAGGCTTATCTCCTCTGGTAAAAGACGTAGGTATAAAAATTCATGAAGAAGACACAAGCGTTATCATGCAACTAGCTTTAACATAAACCCTGGTCATGAAACAGGATAATACATCGCTTAGTGGTGGAACAAGCGAGTGCCCTGCTCAACGAACACAATGCCAAGCTTCTCCGAAGTCTCGAAGACGGCACTGTCGTTCTGGCTACCGCTGGGGGCGGCGATGTACTTGACACCGGAGCGGGCAGCACGGAAGACGTTGTCAATGAAGGGGAACTGTGTCATTGAGGTCAGTAAGCGTCATGCATAGTATTGGAAGCAGACTTACGAAAGCATCCGAGGAGACAACAACGTCTCCCAGGTGCTTGAGCCAAGCGTCGCGCTCTTCCTGGGTGAAGGGAGCGGGAACTTCCTCGAAGACACGCTCGTACTCGGCCTTCTCAGCCTCGGTACGAGGGGTCTGTCCGGAGCAGAGCAGGTCAATGGCGTTGCTCTTGTCGGGGCGCTTGGTGCCCTGCTTCCACTTGATGTTGAGCACGCGGTCGTGGAAGCGCATCCACCAGTTGTCTGCCTTGTCACCGGCCAGACGGGTGCAGTGGATACGGCTCTGCTGGCCAGCACCGAGACCGACAATTTGGCCATTCAGGGCGTAGCACACAGAGTTCGACTGAGTGTACTTTAGGGCGATGGTTGCCACGGTAAGGTCCCGCAGAGCACTCTCGGGAAGAGCCTTCAGATCCTTGGGGGTGATGACGGTGTTGAAGGTCTTCTGGGGGGTGATCACAATGTCGTTGCGGTGCTGGGTGAGCTGAACACCGTACAGAGTACGGGTCTCCTCCGCAGCAGGCACATAGTTCTCATCCATTTGCAGGACAAGGTACTTGCCACCCTTCTTCTTGGAAAGGATCTGCAGAGCCTCAGGGGTGTAGCCGGCGGCGATGACACCGTCGGAGACCTCGCGGGAGATGATCTTAGCAGTGGGGACGTCAACAACGTCGCTGAGGGCGAGAATGTCACCGAAGCTGGACATACGGTCGGCACCACGGGCACGAGCGTAGGCCTGAGCCAGACCGGAAGACTCAATGCCAGCAATGTCATCGACCATGTAGACCTTACGCTCCTTCTCGCTCAAGGGCACACCGACGGCAGCACCGGCCGGCGACACGTGCTTGAAGCTGGCGGCAGCCGGGAGGCCGAGGGCCTGCTTGAGTTCCTTGACGAGAGCCCAAGCGTTGAGAGCATCAAGCAGGTTGACGTAGCCAGGGGCTCCGTTCAGGGCCTTGAAAGGAAGCTTGCCTTGAGTCATGAAAGCAGAAGCGGGCTTCTGGTGGGGGTTGGTGCCGTAGCGGAGAGCCATGTACTGCTCGCCGTTGCCTGCATACTGCTTGCGGAAGAAACCGGAGATAGCAGTGTCGTAGTCGGCGGTGTGCTCAAAAGCCTTGAGAGCGTAGGACTTACGGCTGGCGTCGGTAATCTCACCAGCTTCCAGCTCCTTGAGGAATTCAGGGTAGTCCTGGGGGTCCGAGAGGATGGTAACGCGGGAGTGGTTCTTGGCAGCAGCACGGAGGAGGGTGACTCCGCCAATGTCGATCTCCTCAACAGCCTCCTCAATGGTGACGTTCACCTTGTTGACGGTCTCCTTGAAGGGGTACAGGTTGCAGACCACGAAGTCCACCTTGGCAATGTTCTGGTCGGCCAGATCCTTCTCGTCAGACTCGATATCACGGGCAAGGATACCACCGTGGACAGCGGGGTGAAGAGTCTTGACACGGCCACCGAGCATCTCCGGGGCATGGGTGATGGCGGAGACATCTCTGATCGACCATCAGTTTTGAGGTCTTGAGAGACCCAGTCATGACCATAGCAATATGGTGACTCACTCAACGGGGAATCCCGCCTCCCGAATCAATCTCGCGGTACCACCAGAGGCGAGCAACCGGACGTTGTGCTTGACGAGGCCCTTGGCCAGGTCAAGCAGTCCAGTCTTGTCGTAGACGGAAAGGATGGCTATAGATGGGATTTGAAGAATGCAATTAGCCCCAGATACTCTGGATTCTCGCAAGTAACAGAAATGCCAAATTGTGGGGACAGGTATCGGACCAAGTCCACTACTTGACAGGTCTCGAAAAGTACCCGATCAAGAAAAAGAATTGAAGACGGGAGACGAGATGTATCAATTGACTTACCTGACTTTTGTTGAGACATCCTGAGATACTGACAGTGAAGAGGTCACTAGAGCAGAGAAGCACAGAGTCAGGAATGATGAAGAGGGAAAAATTGTTCAGGTCGAATAAAAAGGGCCCCCCCACAGCCCCTCCGGGACGATCAACTGGGAGCTCCGCACACAGAGCACGAGCAACATCAAGAACAAGGCAAAGAAAACGTAAGGTACGTACCTGATAAATGAGAGGAAATTTGGGGAATATAGTGGCCTCCAGGTTTGTTATATTATCGTCGAGACCAGGCGTTGATCAATGGCAGAGATAATATAACTGTACCTTTGCGACTGATCACAGGCAATGTCGATTGAAGTTCCCTCAATTTCTCCTCGATGTCCCGCCGCGGGGTTCTTCGCCGCTTTCGGACCTGGCGGGTGACCAAGATACTATCGATTACTAACCGCCATCTGTCGTAGCTCCAAACCCGCGGGAAAGACGCCAGACGGACCTGCGGCAGGCGCTTACCATATTAGGCTTAGCGTTGACATCGGCTATTTATGCATAATGTTCTTAGTAATATAAAGTAAAGCACAAGGAAAAATCACATTTAGTCACATGATCTACGCACGGGCCACAAACATTCCACTACAAAAGCCTTGCTCGGCCGCTTCGCTTTGAATTTTTTTTCTTTTCTTCTACATGAACAACGCAAAATCAACATTCTTCAAAAAGCGTTCCTGCGAGGATATCTTTCCCTAAGGGGTCTGTATAGCCGATGAAGTACGGAAATCGTCATACAGAATGGAGAGAAACTGCCCCTGGCAGAGTATCGATCTTGGGTGCAGTGTCTGACTTGAACATACGTTCGGTGGAAGGGACTGCAATGATTGATTCTACAA